CAGCCACAGTCTTGGAAGGCCATTTTTAGTTTTGCTGATTTAGGTAAATATCTGTACCGTGCTAATCCCCAAAGATATGTGCAAAACACTTCTGCTTCATAAACCGCTTCACGGTACCGTTTGCTCCACAGGAGGCAAAACTGGGAAGACTTTGCTGTTATTTGCATGGTGGTTACAGTACGGTTGGTTTTAAAATGTTGGGGTTTATAATTACTTAAATCCAAAGTGGAACTTGAAGTTCCAACAATCTGTGTTTGGACCTGTGTTTTGTGTCCTGATTTAATTTCCTCCAACAGGTCAAGTTGGTTTTTTCATATATATATGTATATGTGGTTAGCTATTTATTTAATATATATAATATATGTATCTCATTTACACTGAGTTGCTTTCTACTAACTTGACTGACACCTTTCTATATGTGTGTCTTACTACAGAGTTTAACATTCTGTGCTCTACATCTGACACAGAATTAATCGATAAAGGTTGCATTTAACGATCAGGTTCTTCTTGATCTTACTCGTGGACTGGTGGATGAAGACAGGCTTTATTCCTGCTTCTGCTTCCACGTGTTTCCTTCCCTAACGATTAGTCAAGCCAGACTTTGAATTATTTTTTTGTACCAATCAAGCCAAACTTCAAATTATTTTTTTGTACCAAAGAGTCTCCTCCTAGAAGCTGTGTTAGCATTGGGGGCTGATGTCAGGTACGTAGCCGGGGATTTGCACTGGGTCAGTGATTTGACTTTAAAAAAAAATGGCCCCAAATGTACTGATTTAGTACAGACTGCCACGTTTAATGAGATGTCTGCTTTCTGCAATAATTGTCGTTAATGTTGGCTTAGTTTCTGCGTCTGTTACAGTTTTTTTTTTTCTCATTGGACTTGGGGAAATGCTTTTGTCCAAAGCGCTAGAAAAACTTAGTACATGCTGGCTCGGGTTTTCATGTCGATACTTTCAAGAAATACTGAGAACTCAAAGAGGGACTGTGAAACTCCTGTAAAGCGCTGGAATCTTCGAAGCTGCAAGAGCATAACCTGTTAACAGAAAGAATGGACTATTGTGTGAAATTCCCCAGGATCTCTTACAGACCAGAACAGAGTCATTGGCTTGTTTAAACAGATAAAACCTTTGGAGAAGACGGAAAAAAAATGCGCAGTAAACCGAGGACGTTGCAGTGGCTTGCTAAGGAAGAGGTAGATTCACTAGTCTGCAGCTCCAAACCGAGGGAGTCTGTGTGAGCGCCCCTCGTTCTGTAGCCTTTGTATTCAGGTCAGCGGTGTCTGCCACCGTCCTCGAGGCCTGCATATGTGAGAACTAGTCCTGTGCCTCCCGGTTTCTGACTGTACTGATTAATCTGGTGTTTTCTACTTTAATAGCAATACCCAGAGGTTCTGAAAGAAATACTCGTATTCTGTAGCAGGGAAATAGTTGCAATTACCATCGAATTTATTGCACTGGCTAATCTAGTTTTCCTTTCAGAATTTTTGACTGTGACACATGCTGCAGAAAGAGATGGCAAAAGAGGGGGAGAGAAGGCATTTGGTTATTTTTAACTACAGAAGAAATGCATAATCCATATACTTAAATAGCTGCTGGTGGTGGATATATATTGTTTTTCAGGAGTAGCAGTTTTTTTATTCTACAAATTCTGCCATTTCCACAGTCTGCACCACTGGCCTGTTGCCTCCAGCCCGTGGGGTGCTCTCTTGAGCAGGGCTGCCTCCCCTAGCTAAGACAGCTGTACTTCAAGGAACGTACTTAATGGACCTCTGGACTGTAATACTCATCAGCAACTTGACATTTTAAAATCTATTAAATCCTCTTTTGTCACATGAAGTAGACTTGTGACAGCTTGCCGTGTCCCTTTTTACTCTGCAGCCTTGTGTTGGGTTAGGGCTGTGTTCAAAAGGCGACTAGTTGTTTATTCCACTCCTTTAAAACTTGCCTTCTGGGCAGTGCATGCCTGCTCTGGGGAAGGTGATTCCTTCCGGCCTGCCCAGGGCCCGTGAGTCTTTGTGCAAGGCCCAGAAGGCGGGGGAGCGGTGCTGTGGCCGCGCCATGACCGTGCTCTTCCAGGCTTGGCTCCAAGCTTCACCCTGTGCCCAGATCCGGCAGCCCTGCTGGATCATACATGAGTCAACAGGGTGGATATGTGGTCTCCCTAATACAGGGCTACTTATTTTCCAAAAACGTGATTCAGATGTTATTCCATTTGATTGTAGAGGTATGTTCATCCTCTGTAGCCCTTAATGTGCACTCTGTTTCAATTTGCCTAGTGATGCAGTACAGCAGAGAGTGACCTGGTGAAATCCTGGCAGAGAGCAACCTGGAGGCAGCACCAGGTGCGAAGGCTCATTCTGTTACCTGCTTGTCCATCCCTGTACAGTAGCCTGTGTGCTTAAAAGTAAGGATTTGCGAGTAGTACAAGAAGGAATTTGAGATTAAGCACGTTTAGGTGTGTTATTAAAGGATTCCATGGTTAGTACAGTGCCGTTGTCTCTGGGTGCAGTTAGTGCTGTTCTCATTCGTGTCACACCGGAACAGATGTTCCGGGGAAAGTTTACAAGTCCAGTAGTTTTAATCAACCAAAAAAATAGGCTCGTAGTGTCTCTGGTCAGCTGTAGGATAACTTCAATGGGAGGGCAGGGGGATGGTGCTTCAGCAGATTAAGATAGGTAAAACCTTCCAAGCGCCATTCAGAAGGCTTAATGTTTTAAAGTGGTTTCCTTGCTATTTAAAGTGAGTGCAGCTGACTGGATCATAAACAGCTTACAACTGCACCGGAGAGGAGGATTTAAATCATCCTTGGAGAATGGTTTCTAACGCTTTCCTGTACACGTACTGCTCCTGGGAGATTTCAGCTTCCAGTTGGTCTTTCTGCGGAAACAGCTGGTAAGAGGTAAGAGGCTTCAGAACAGCAGCTGGGGTGACTGGGTTGGTAAAGGGTGCAGGGCAGGAACGGGTCTCACTGGCTGTGGGGCATGGCTTAGTATAAAGGCCACCGTACGTGTGTCCCAGGCAGTGACCCCGCCCTTATCAGCTGCTGCTATATAGTCGGATTTATTCCCCAAAACCTATGGCAGTAGGAACTGATGGCTGGGATCATCCGTGAATACAGCAAAATTAGTCACTTTTATTTAAAAGAAATAACATATTACAAATAAGTGTGCAAAACAATTTCTGTGATTAAATACACGTAAAAGCAACATGCAACCTTGACATTGAAATCTGCGTAGAAGTTAGTCCTTAGTATGTTACATGACACTAAAAGAAACTTATCAAATTTAGAGAGTTTGCAGCTAAACAATCTTAGAGTGAACTGGCGTGTCAGGCTTGAAGCATCTGTGAAAGTAAATTCCAGAAGAGCAAGACTTCCCTCCCCCAGGTACTTGGTGCTGTGACCGGAGAGCTTGTGTCTATTCCAGTTTCTGGTTTAGTATCTTGTGCCTTAGCTCAGCAGTGGAGCAATGGATATTAACTGCCAATAACAACTTTGGGAAAGAGTTTACAAGTCAGGTGGTTTAGTCTAACGTAACTGCCCCTAGGCCACCAGTATCGAGTACAGAACATCTCAAGTGGGGGGGGGGAAAAAAAGAAAGAAAAGAAACAATTGCAAGTTTCAAGCCAATACAGAGAGGTCTGCTTCACGCCACCGTGGTCATTTCTTGTGCTGGGTGTGTCAGGGGCCTGTACAGTCTTCCTGCCGAAGTGCAGCCGGGGCAGACGCAGGCAGGGCGGGCGACCGAGGCGGGGGTTATACTGGGAATGGGTGTTTTGTTACAGAAGGAATCACCTCTACACCTACAGGAGCTCCTGCTGCCCGAGGGACCTGGGTGCTTGCTCTACACGCCGAGGAGAGGTTAGTTAGGTCAGCCAGTGCCTAAACACGCCTTCGGCTACTCTGTGCAGTGTGGCACCTTCAGCTCTTAGTGCTGCTCACTCACCCACTGTGGGCAGGTGGACAGGAGCAGCAGTCTGTGCCGCACGACCTGCCGCCCTCAGCCCCGGGCACCAAGTCCGAGGAGAAGCGTGGCTCAGGCTACAGCCCCATCACCCCTTCTCCGTCCCTCAGCTGTGCCCAGGGCAGGGGGATGGCAGTGCTCCCGCCCGGAGCCAAGCTAGGGGAGGTTTATCTGAGCGTCATCCTTAGTATTCCCCCCTCCCCCAGCCAGTCAGTCAAGTAAAGCAATGCCTAAAATCTTCTGGTTTCACATCCCTTTTTCTAAGGCTCGTAGTACTTTTCTACAGCCTCCTGCAGATCTTTTAGCATGGCAGGCACTCGTGTTTAATCTAAGTCATTTCACAGTTTAGATTAAGAGAAACCCAATAGGCACAAGCTTGTTGAAAGCCACGTCTTGAAAACTTGAGTTGATGACAGTAACCCAAAAAGGTTTTAATGATGAATACTTGCAGAAATGAGAATAAACATATGTAGTCCACTACTTCAGAGCTTGTTGTGATCATGTTGGGCCAGGCTTCTCCATGAGGTCTGCTGAACTTCTTGGACGTTGCACTGGACATTCATATACTGTCCTTCCAAAGGTGTGGAACAGCCAAGGCAGTACTTTGACCCATGCACTGCCCTCAGCTCAGTCAAAGCTTGTCATCTGTCATTTCTAGAAACTGAGCATAGACATCCCTTGAGCATTCCCCTTTTTGGTTGAATAAGAACTTGTAGTAGCTGCCGTCCGCACATATCGCTGAAATAAAACCAAACACGTTAAATTCAGCTGTTGCAGAGGTACCATCACGTTCCTTCAGCTGTAACTTAAATCAACCTTTGCAGCTAAGGGCACACACAGCGAGGTGGTGCTGAGGAGCCTGAGCTCAGCCAGCGCTTGGGCTCTGTCTCTCAGCCCCACTCTGCTCCCGGGCTCGCCCCCTCCCACCCCGGGCACTGCCGAGCAATGAGAGCGCCCATCCTCAGGTGACAGGAACGCACTAGGCTGGCTCATCTGAGTGCTCAAAGCCAGCGTAGTTCAGAACCCAGGGAAGGGTCTGGTACTTACCTATGACAGCATTTGGCTCTGTTCCAAAGGCACAAATGCACGGAGAGCCTGAGGGAACCTGAAATTTGGAAAAACTCCATTTGGAACTGAAGTATTTGGGGAGAAAGGTGGCAGAAGCCAAACTGAAAGAGAGAGAGAAAAAAAGGTGTAACAACTTAGTGTGAGGTGTTGACTAGAGTTGACTTAGAACTGCTGGAGTGAACAAGTTGCAGGTTCACACTGACTGCTATTTTTTACCAGCTTTTTATTTTCTTCCACTAAGTACCAGGTAATATTTACAATTGCCCTTCTATGGAAGGGGGACCTACAAGTACCCCTCTGCTTTGTGTTTTTAAGGGACTGCAGAAACTGCCAAAAAGATTGATTTTTAGTAGAGATTTCTTTACGTGAAGCATCCACAGTGTTCACACCACTAAAAAACTACCCTGTCCTCCTGGAATTCTGCAGCTCCAAAGGACAGCAGAAACTTGGCAGCTGCTACATAGTCCTAAATCTTCAACTTCTCCCAAGCACAGCAGATGAATCTCACCATCCGTAGTGCAGGTATTTGCTACTGCTTGACAAGACCAGTGCTTTAAACTCAATTAAAAGGTCAAGCCTCCCGCTCCCCCAAAGGTTTCAGAAAAGCTCAAACCTTACCTTGACTGCTTATTTCTTTTAGGGTCCTCTGCAGCAAATATATGGACTGTGCCGTGGTCACTGGATACGCAGATTAGGGAAGCATCCTGATTGAAGTTAATACTGCAGAGAACACAGACAGTTGCAGGATCTCTGCTGGAACACACCCGCACAGTCTGGCCTCTGCACTCCTGCAGCTGCCGGCTCCCCGGCAGGCGGGGAGTTAACAGCTCCTCTCCCAGGGGCCTGGGACTCCCTGATTCAGCTGCTTTGCTGCCAGGATAAGCAGCCCCTTCAGGGGGAGAGAACCTCAGTTATCAGAACCTGCTAAGCTGCAGACTGTGCTGACATCGACCAACCGGCCAGCGTGGGCCATTCTGCCACTTCTGCTGGAAGGAAGAGTGTGCCCCCTGCGCCGAGGAGCAGGCAGGTATTGGATGAAGTGCTGCTCGGTACAAGGGAACTTGCCCCAACTCCTGCAAGAACGTTTCCAGCAGGGGATGAGAGTCAAACTTCTGCCTTGGGCTCTCGGTGCGGAGCAGCACTGCCCCCTGACAAACCTCCACCTGCTCTCAGGTGCTCATCCCAGGCTCTGGGAAGCATTAGGCCGCATCAGTGTGAAGCCAAAACATTCCCCCAGCTCCACCTGTGCTCTGCAGAGAAGGGTGCCTTCTCCTGGGTACAGTCCTGGCCCAGCTGCCATCACCTCTGCTGGGCTTCACACGGCTGCTACTCCCTCCTCACCAGCCCCGAGCAGAGGGGAAGTGGCACAGGCCCGGCACAGCCCTGGGACCTCTGGCTGCCAGAATCCTGCCTTGTGCCTGTGGCAGCTGGACCCTCCCCTCCTCTCTGAAGGCAACTCGGGTGCCAGCTCCCAGGGTGCTGCCCCACAACGGTACCCACAAGAACACAAAGCAGAAACAACTGAACATACCAGTATATATTGGCTGCCTGTGATCCTCTTCGCAGCTCCTGGATTAAATGCCCTGATGAAGTATCAAATATTCTTATGAGGGTCCCCTTGAAAAGGAATCAAGCGTTATATTAGGAAAGATAGAAGATTTCTTACATCTGTGAAGGTATCCTAAAATGCCAGCTGACCAGCGTGCCCAAACATACACCATTAGGTTTTTCATGAATGTAGATTTGAGAAAAGCTGTCTGAAGATTACTTTCTGGTTTGATTGCTGCAGTGCAATTTTTTAGAATGCTAGCTCAGGCACAGCATTTGGATTGCTCTTTGGGCATCCTAAAGAAGCAGTAAAGATAAAGAAATCCTGAGAACGTGTATTTCAATGACAAATTTTCCAGTCAGTTATTTCTACGTCTTTCCTACGAAAGGATGTGACTTCCTGTTTTAGGACTGACTACACTAGAAGACGGTAAATCAGAGGTAGGAGGAGGTTATTCTTACTTTTTCTGATGCTGTTGCAATTCTTGTTCCCTGCAGGTTTAACGCTATACAGCTCAAGACTCCCTCGTGAGCCGGTATGTCTACAGGAGGCTTTTCTGTATTGGCGAGATCCACTATCTGCACGTGCCCAGTATGTGTTCCAGGAAACGCAAGAAGTGAATTATTACTATTTGGACAAAGGACACAGAGACCTGGGGGGAAAAAAAATATAATAACTATGTAGTTTCTGTAACCTGAAGTTTTCAGACATAAGTTTCTAAAATATTGGTAACTTCAGAATAAAAAAAACATACACACAGTAAATTAGAATTTCATTTTAATGGCTATTGTGGTGTCCCAAAACCTGCTCCATCCGTAAGTGCAGAGCACAGAGAAGCAGGGGAGCAGCACAGTTTTAACTTGCTCTTATCACTTTATTTCAAAGTAATCTAGTTGTGGTTATCCAAACTCTGGAAGTTTTCAGAGATCAGCTCCATCAGGTACTTTACAGAAGAAAACATATAGCTCTTATAGAAATGAAATCTGTAATATAACAGGAGTACATCAAAAAGCTTTTCTGTGCCAACTAGTAACAAATTTTCATGGCCATTTTATAATAACCATTTATAAACACAAAAGCATTTGCAAAGAGCATAACTAGAGTGCTGTAAGCAAGCTCTGGAATGATCCACTAACTCGTTGAGGCAGCTAAAGATAAACAGCATGGCAAGAACAGAATAAATTTGCTTCCATTCCCCAAGACCCCTCCAACTGACCTTTAGGGTTGTAGCAGGTTTCAAAGACGTGCAGCTGGTGGGGATTGTGTGTGAATGTGAAAACTTTAATCATTGAGTCCAAGACTACCACAATTCTGAAAGAGACAAGAAGTTCCCGTGACTCGGGCTGGGTAGAACAGGGCTGCAGGCATTACCTCCGCTCTGCAAAGGCCTTGGGCTGAGTGAATATATTCTAACCCCTCCCGGCCACAGACTCGCAGCCTTGCAAAAACAGTCGGGAGCCTGCAAAGCACTTTTATCTGAAGCTGTGACAGCAGAACCCCTCCGCCCACACGTGCACAGACTCCAGTTGTTAACAGATGCCCTTGCTCTACAGATCCGCTTGAACTCTCGCCCTCCTCCACACCTCAGGCAGCAGGAGCCTACGTTGGGTGAGGGAGGCATTTGGAAGATGTTTGTTGTACCCACCTATCTCTTCGCAGCTTCACTGCTTTGACTTCTGTAGAAAACTCTATCTCAATGACAGTCTTCTTCTTCAGGTCATCCCAGATCATTACTAAAACAGTGCAGAGATTGCATTAGATCACCACGGCCTATCAGAAGATCCACATCATCTCCCTTATAACAACTACAGCCAAGCAGGGACAGCCTGGTGTCCTGCTGACCAGAAGGTGTTCCAGCTGCTACACCTCAGCCCACTCTTTCAGGCTGTGACTCGGGCAGGTAGGACCTCATAAGCTGTAACCACAAAAGCTGACACTAAAAATACATTTTTTCTAAAGATAAGCAGCTGCTTTGTTTTGCTCTGAGGGTTATCTAAGAAATAAGGCAGCAGCCCAAAAAAGTACCCTATTTTTCTACCAAGCTTGCCAACCAGGGACCTTCTCCCCATCGTGCTGCTAAGCCACAGAGCCTCTTGGCAAAGCTAACCGTGAGAAGTACAGACTTTGTCACCAGGTCCTGGAGAGTCCTCACTGCAGCTACCTGCCTGTTAACAGCTGTGACACAACTCATTTCACCACATGGACTTAAACTTGCTGTAACAGCCCCTTGCACCCAGGCTTCAGAACACCTGAGCTCGGCTCAAGACACTGGGTTTGGGAGTTTTTGGGGCAGCCTCACCCGGATCACAGGGCAAACACTGACAAGATCTATTCTTCAAAACTCACCTTTGTTAGGTGGGTACTTGGGCTTTTTTCCTCCACCTACTAGTGCTAAATAGTTGCAGCGAAACAACATTTCCACGTGGCCAACCCCGCCTTCTAGAAATTCTGCAAGACAAATGGATTTTATTGAAAAATGTCAGACATCTCATTTTTACCACTGTTAAAAGAAAAGCTGGCATTATTTAGCACTTCTTTCAGGCACCTGAGAGGAACAGTGTCTTCCTACCCTGGCTGACCTTAAAAAACAGAGAATCCTCTAAAAGTGAGAGTGACAGACGGGAAACCCTGACTAAAAGGGTGGGGGTGGGTTTTTTGTAGTTTTGTTTGAATTTTTTTGGGTGCTTGTTTAAGGTTACGATTCTCAGCAAAGCTGCTTTGTTTTTCATGGCAATTAAGATCACCACTGCTGTCACACAGTTGGGACAGGCCTCATTTATTTTT